AAATTAATAAACTTACCATCACCTTCGTTTTCCATTTAAACTTTTATTTAACACGCTTTGTTTTCAGCTTTAACAAGCAATTGAAGTAAGCACTATAAAACACCGAACGCAATTCTGTTTACAAATGAAGCAAACAAATTCAACTTCGATGACTCCCCGAATAACGGTGAATTGCATATTACAACAACAAAATTCATTTTTGGTTGTTTTGGAGTGTTGACTAGATTTCAAAAACAACAACATATTTCGTGAGTGGAAACATTTTGACTTTTGGCCAACGAAATGAAATTTCCGACCATAGTGCGGCCGAGTAATCATAGTCAACTTATGTATAGTAGTCAAAAAAATTATAGTCCCACCAAATTTTGTTAAGTTTTAAAATATTATTTTTGTTGTTATTTAATTTTGGTAAGTTTTTTATAGTTCATTCTTTAACAATATCCGTATAAATACAAGTTTAAAGGCAGTGTCACACGATTGGGTATTTGCCGAAATTTGGTGCAAATCGTATCGCAATTGTGTGAATACCCAAATATTTTTCTTTATCCCAATGACGAAAAATAATTTGTTGAAAGTTTTCAAAAGAAGATTGCTGTATTGTGCCAATCTTTTGACTACAAAAAAAATTGTCCCAATTTTTTTATTTTGCCCCAATAGCCTAATATAAAAATGCGCAATTCTGTACAAATGTAACAATCGAGTGGCACTGCTCTAATCATTTTTGCAATTAAAAAAAAAAAAATCAACAAATCTTCGTAAAAATTTAGAGCTTTTAATTAGATTATGAGTATGCGGTTTTGTAGCCCATTGAATTCTAGTAGAATGAAGTACAAGTTTCCAATGGATAAAAATTACGGTAGATTTTTTAGAATTTTAAAAAAAGCTGGGAATTTTGTTCGAAAGTTTGTTGAATTTTTTAATATTGCAAAAAGTTGGAAACTTCGATTTTCACGGGGTTGGTTAAAGAATGAACTATATTTTTACAAAAAAAAATAACCAAAATTAAATAACAACAAAAATAATACGTTATATATAACCTCCCTAGATTTTTGGGATATCGTTCTCACAATCCCGGGATCCCGGGAGTAGTCTATATTGTTTGAGGAGCTCTCCCACCATAAAATAAATAATAAGTAAATGGGTTTAAAACCTACTTTATTATTTGAAGTTATATTTTTATTTTTTCTCTCTGACGTCAGGATTTATTTTAAAGGACATTGTAATTTCAAACATATGAAATAAAGAAAGGACGGATAGGTAATTTTTTAAGCTGATAAAGTTCGAACGACCAAATTCGAGGATGTTATCGAGTTTATATAAGTCCTTAACATATAATTTTTTCAAAAACAAATATTGCGAAATTTCAGGGATACAATTTTAAAAAGACATTTTCAATACTTACCAGTCCTCATGCACCAAAAAATTTAACCGGCTTAAATTCTACAGAATTCCCTCTTTAATTTGGAACTCATTTCACTGAATTTTTTAAATAATTTTTTAGTTACTGACGTCAGAGTGAAAAACTAAAAACTCAATTTTACTATATTTGGCCCATGGTTTCGCGAATATATTGTTTTTGTGTGCAAAATTTACTATAGCACGGTGTTATATGTATGATGAGCTAGACAATCACAAAAAAAAAATATTAATTACTTATTAAATAAAAAAAAGAAATACAGCCATCAATGGTCAAGAAAAGGAATTTCTATAATTGCCATCAGTGCAAATCACAATCCCTAAAAAAGGCGGGGATCCCAGATTAATCTTCCTAATATGTACATAACAAAATTTAAAAATAATCTATCCCAGGCTATCTTCAGGAAACTCAGTAATAATTCCCATTTTTTAATACTAACGATGTTTTATTGGGCCCCCATTGCATTTTCCGGGGTTTTTGGCGGACCTATAAACTATAGTTAGTATAAAAAATGGTTAAATAAACAATTGGGTATTATTATTTAAAGTCTCCTGAAGATAACCTGAGTTTTCTGATCGAAAATTATTGATTTTCAAGAATTCTACGAAAATTTGTTTTTTTCCTCTAAATATTTTTTGATTTTCAAAATAAAAAAAATTGGGTAGGTAGGTAGTAGTGTATTTTTTCGGTAAAGAAGAATCCTAGGGGTGGGAGCATAAACATTCCGACTTTACTTTTTCACATGCACATTTGGACCACCCCAATGTACATACATACGTGCAGTTGAACGTTTTTGTCTGCGTTGCCTCATACCCCTATCTATTAACAAATCTCCATTTTTATCGCATCAAGAGAATTGCGTTGTTTTGCAATTCGTTTCTATTACAACTGAGCTGGCGTTTTCTATGCCTCAATATGTTTGACGCTCCTGCTAAGTGTTAAACTTGTGTCTACTTACATTTGTATATACATACTATATATATATACTTTATAAATTCGTATGTATACTCAAACTTAAGTTCATCTGCTAACAATATGTAGTTATGTATATACTTATATATATGTATATGTATGTACATATGTGTGTAGATACACTTGTGGTCAGCTGATTAAGTTAAGTAACATTTTGACAGTTTTGGTTATTTTTATTTTGTCTATTTAATGTTTAAAATTTTTTTTATAAAAGTCTGACACATTACAAAACCAGCGCCACATAAATCCACACTTCAAACTTCGTACACAAATTATAAAAATTCAACAAACTTTTAACAATTACACCCAAAAATTTTTTTTCTTTTCACCCACCAAACAATTTGTGTTGCCAGCAATAAGAAAATGTGTCGCCCTCGGAAACAAATTTATTGCCGGTAATATTGCCATCGAATCGATTTCGATGAGTCGCCAATTTGTTGCCATTGACGATTGTTGCCTATTTCTCATGTTTTGCATGGTGGGCATTTTCTTCCATATGAAAGTAATTGCCGAGCATACTTTATATGGAAGAAAATGATAACACCGTCAGCCAAAAAAAAATATTAAAAGTCAACGCGATTCTCTATCCCCTTGAGATTTGCACTTTAACCAGTTTACTTAAACTAAGTTTAAACTGGCACTGAAAAACTGGCCCTTAATAAGCTGACCACAAGGGTACATACATATATGTATATGTTGTACATCACATACATATGTATGAACATTGAATTGTTCGTTGGCCCGGCAGTATTTAGTGAGTCATATTTTTCTCTTTATTATAAACAACATCTACAAAAGCAGAAACCTGAAAATTCAGCTAAGCAGCAACAAATACCATCAGAACACAAGTAAATACACACGAAATAGCATGTATGTTTATAAACAATGCCACTATCCCATACATACATACTTATGTATACATATATGCATGTGTTTGCGTGTAATTCGAAGTGAGGCGCAGGGTTGTAAATTACAAATATCTTTTGTACATATTATTTGTTTTATTTAAATTTAAAAATGTTTACATCAATGATCATAAAATAATCGTTAAATTTCAAGTAACAACGAAGGGAGAACCAGAAAAGCCACAATCATAATTTACATGACGTTTGCGTCCAGCCAGGGAAATGAAAGTCTTTTTTTAAATAAATTTTTTACGTAAATTATCAACTTAAGAATTCATGATTTTCTCAGCTATATAGTGAAATTTTCTTCACCCTCACTGTCATACATATGTGCGTATGTACCTACGTACTTTTAAACATTGCGCTGGATTTCATCTAAAAACTGGTCGAAAAGGAAAATGATGCAAATGTAAGCGAGAAACAAACAAACACAAACCAAAACAGTTGGCGAAGAAACTCTCTTCTCTTTGCTTGTGAATTTCAATTCGCATTGCTGTTTGATTTTATGTACAAACGTAAATGCGAAAATACTCGTCCATTCGATGCAACACTGTTCAAACTTAACACAACCAGCCAGTCATCCATTCTCTACACTCAAACAGCAAAAGCAGTTCTGCTACGTTGTCGTTGTGTGCGCGGAAATTAGCTTATGGTAGCAGTTTATGTATTAAAACGTTTGTGTCAGTGTGTCTCGGTTGTATCTTTTGAGTGTCACAAATAAAATACAAGAAAGGAGTTTAATTTCATAAAAAAATTGTTAAGATGCACGATCCAAGAAACTATTTTCCAAAAAATTACCACTCCACTGGAATTGGTTTGGTGAACTTAGCTGCTCTCGGCTATAATAAAAATGAAAAAATCAATAGTGAGCCACCGACGACTGGTCTTTATCCGGCATTGCCGTATCCAATTGCACCTACGAATCCCATCGCAGCCAGCCTGAGTTATGGCATGCCAATGCCACCATCAGAAGTGCCTGATGTTAAAAATTCAGCACAATATCCACCACAACAATCGCTGTATCCGACCTTGGGGGCGCAGAATGTGATTTACCCCTCTGGCACACCGCAACCGTATGCGTCATACCCTACGGCACCGTATCCGGCGTCTACGGCGCCAAATTTGCCATATCCGTCGATGCCAACTGGTATGCCAATGCCATATAGTGTGCTTCCGCCATCGTCTCCGTCCAGCCTCTATCCGACTATTCCAACGCTGCCAGATGGTGCAATGCCAACATATGGAGGCGGTGGCGGTTGCCTCGTTAGTGAAGCAGCGAATGATAAGCTACCATCGCCGGATGAGGAGCCTTCTGTAGGTGTACCGGAGATACCATTTTCTGCTGTAAAGGTGCCTGAAAGCGAAAATATGTTCTGGATGAAGGAGAAAACTCGTGAGCTTCGTTCTCAAGATGATTCACATGTGCCATACGAAACACTACGCAGCAGTTGCTTAGATAATGGTACTCTTTTTGAGGATCCAGCTTTTCCAGCCAAAAATGACTCACTGATGTTTTCACGTCGTCCCGACCGCTGCCTTGATTGGTTACGTCCACATGAAATTGCCGATAATCCACAGTTTTTTGTTGATGGTTATTCACGCTTTGATGTGCAACAAGGAGAATTGGGTGACTGTTGGCTACTAGCAGCAGCGGCAAATTTAACTTCAGATCCGAACATGTTCTTCCATGTGGTGCCACCTGATCAAAGTTTTGAAGACAATTATGCGGGGATATTCCATTTCTGTTTCTGGCAGTACGGTAAATGGGTGGAAGTCGTAATTGATGATCGCCTTCCTACATACCGTGGAGAGCTAATATACATGCATTCAACGGAGCGTAACGAGTTCTGGAGTGCATTGTTAGAAAAGGCCTATGCTAAATTACATGGTTCATATGAAGCACTTAAAGGTGGTACTACTTGTGAGGCTATGGAAGACTTTACGGGTGGTGTTACGGAATGGTACGATTTGAAAGAAGCACCACCGAATCTTTTTAATATTCTTGATAAAGCCATGAAACGCAATTCATTAATGGGCTGTTCATTGGAACCCGATCCAAATGTGTTTGAAGCAGAAACTCCACATGGCCTTATTCGTGGTCATGCCTACTCCATATCGCGAGTATGCATGATCGATATTCATACGCCAAATCGTCAAGGAAAGTTACCTATGATACGCATGCGTAATCCTTGGGGCAATGATGCGGAATGGAAGGGGCCATTTAGTGATAACTCCCCAGAATGGCGTTACATACCTGAATCACAGAAACAAGAGCTCGGACTTACTTTTGATGCAGATGGAGAGTTTTGGATGCCTTTTCAAGAGTTCCTCAATAATTTCGATCGTGTTGAAATCTGTAATTTGTCACCAGACTCGTTGACCGAAGATCAACAACATAACGGAAAACGGAAATGGGAGCTGCAAATGTTTGAAGGCGAATGGACAGCCGGTGTTACAGCGGGCGGCTGTCGTAATTTCCTCGAGACTTTCTGGCATAACCCCCAATATGTGATCACCCTTACCGATCCTGATGAAGATGACGATGATGGCAAATGTACTGTTATAGTCGCACTTATGCAGAAGAATCGGCGTTCCAAGCGCAATCGTGGTATGGAATGTCTGACCATCGGGTTCGCCATTTACCATTTAACAGATCGCGACATGGAGACTAGGCCGCAAGGTTTAAATTTTTTCAAATACCGTGCTTCAGTTGCGCGTTCTCCGCATTTTATAAATACTCGCGAAGTATGCGCACGCTTCAAATTGCCGCCAGGCACTTATCTAATTGTTCCGTCGACCTTTGATCCCAATGAAGAGGGCGAGTACATTATACGTGTGTTCTCTGAAACGGCAAATACTATGGATGAGAATGACGATTCAGTTGGGTATTGCGATGTGGATGATCGTATAAAACCAAACATACCGCCACGTAGAGAAGAGGATCCGCAACGTGAGAATCTGCGTCGTCTTTTCAAGAGCATTGCTGGTAGCGATATGGAAGTAGATTGGATGGAACTCAAGCGCATACTTGATCACTCACTGAGGGATGTGATGGTAGATGAAAATACGTTTTCAAAGGATGCGTGCCGTTCAATGGTCGCGATGATGGACAAGGATCAATCCGGAAACTTGGGCTTCGAAGAGTTCGAATTATTACTCACCGACATTGCCAAATGGAAAGCAGTATTCAAATTTTATGATCACGATCATAGCGGCCAAATAGAAAGTTTCCAATTGCGTGACGCACTCAATTCGGCCGGTTACCGTCTTAATAATCGGGTCCTGAATGCGCTCGGTCGCCGTTACACGTCACGCGAAGGCCAAATAACCTTCGATGACTTTTTGATGTGCGCGGTAAAGACGAAAACATACATTGACATATTCCGCGAACGCGACACTGACGAATTGAATCGAGCGACATTTAGTATGGATGAATGGCTCGAACGCACCGCCTACTCGTAGACGAGAGAAATAACGTTGGCTGCTAGCTGGGAAAACCGGTTTTGTTGCTACTGCTTTATACGATGTTGGTGCTATGCCGGCGATGTATTGGTTGCGTACGAGTTGTAATGTGAAGTGTTACCTGCCTTTACCAATAATTTTGTATTTCTTTATAAATATATATTGTATATTAAGTATTTTGAATTCCATCATTTTCATCAATTCATACTGGCTTTTGAGTATGAAAAAGAAAAATTAAAAAAGAAGTATTCGATGCTTACACATAAATGCTCAACAAAAAAAAATCCTACAAAACAAATGCAAATTTTCAAACTTTGAGCGAAAATAACAAATAAAGAGATGCTGATACAATGAATAAAGCCAGTTTTCTCATGCACGTAATCGTCTCAATATGTCCATATACGGTCAGCGTCAAAAATATGCATACCCTAACGTTTTGGCTATTTTCTTTTTCTGAATTCTCCTTCCAAATTTTTATAATTTTTTTATAAAAATATAGTTCATTCAACAGCAAAAACACAATAATAATTTTTTTTAATCTCATAGAACTCTGAAAAATTCAAGAAATACGAAGAAATTTTCAACAAAGTGTTGAATTTTTCAACTAGATTTCTTAGAAAAATTTTCAGTATGCAGTTTTGCAGCCCATCAGTACAAGCATCAAGTCGCTAAAAATTACCGTTGATTTTTGAGAGGTTTTTTGTCCAGGGTATTGCGTATTTTCTTTCATATAAAAATAGATTTTGTTTATGCGTTATATGGAAGAAAATGCGGAACACCCTCGACAAAAAAATTCTCAAAAATCAACAGTAATTTTTAGCGGCTGCATACAAAAATTTTTTCTAATGCCGAATTTCCAGTAGGCATTGAAATGACAAAAAATGTATGCCATTTAAAAAAATGTCATGTAGAAATGAACTTAATCACAATTTTTTTTACGTAATGACACGATTATTTATTAATGCCCAACTTTGTCAGCTGGAAAAGCTTTTTCCAGCTCTCAAGAAAAACGAATAATGCATATAAAATGGCGGGCAAGAAATAGAAAAGAAATTTTCTTCTATCAAAATTTCTTAAATCAGTTTGCAGCTCTCAGGAAAACAAGTATTTTTAAGCAAAAGACACAACCGACTATTCTCATATAAATATTTAGGAGCACCGTTAATTTTTTCATGATCAATAGAATAGAAGAAAATTTCTTTTCCATTTCTTATGCGTCATTTTATATGAATTTTTCGTTTTTCTTGAGAGCTCTTAAAAGTTTAACTGCGAATGAAAACATTGTCCTAAAAATATGCAATGCATACTTACGTACTATTGTTTTGTACACTTAACAGCCTCAAAGAGTTTACTACTGATATGTACTTATCCAGGATTCGAAGATTTAATTTGCAATCCAACTTCGAATTCGTTCCACCAATATGAGCTACGTAATAAAAATAAAAATTCAGTAAAAGTTTTCGGTATTCGAAATATTCTGCCTTATCCTGAGTTTCGCCTGAAAAAAATTTCACCCGAAAATTTGTCATCCGCCCATAGTAAAACCATGGAAACCAAAAGTGAAAAGTGAACCGGTTCGGGGAAAATGAAACTCATGATAAGGCCGATTAAAAAATTAGGCAATCGTGAAAAATCACCATCTCCATCGAAAACCAGAAACCAGAAATCGAGGAAAATGAACATTAAACTCTGTTTTAACGTTTTCACGTGGTCCAAAGTTATGCGGTAGCATACATAAAAAAAAAAAATATTTCGACGAATTGATAACCTCCCCCTGTTTTTGAAGTCGGTTAAAAATGTTTGAATTCTTCGTTAATTTTATGTAAGTGCAATTTGTGAAACTTTAAAAAGTTTATTTATTTATCACATACTGTACATAAAACTAGCATAAATGTATTTTAAAGGGCATATTATTTGAAGCAAATTTTCAGTATTTTCTGGTGATATACATATCTTTAGAAGCATAAGTAAAAAATGCTTTTGGAATTTTTTTTCTAGGTTTATGAGAAGTTGGTAATAATATTCAATTGATTAAAAAATAAAAATTCTTATAAAACAAGAATCGAAATTTTACAAACTGACCACTTAATTTTGTTGCCCAATAAGTTCTCTAATTGCTATCGAAAAATCATAAGATTCGAATGAATGGTTGCTGAAATATTGCAAAAAGTGTAAAAGCCTGCACAAAAATTTATTTGCAAAGAACTCATCAAGAAAATAAAATTAACGCAAAAGCTTTGGTGTCAATATTGCACACCATGTTAACTTTCAAAATCAGCCAATGAAATATAAAAAATTGAAATGTCAACTTTGGATGACCCACTTCAGAAAACTTGACTCTTATACTACGTTCAAATTGACGAGCTAAACATGTTAAATGGGCTTAAACCAGTTAAATGAACGAAACATGTTCATAAACCAGTTAAATCGCATGCAATTGTTGTTGGAAAATTGATCCAGTTAAATCAAGTTCTGAACACATTGAAAACGACGAGCTACCGACCACAGCTTCCAATTTGTCATCTTTATTATCTAAGCGCTTTGTCGATGGCGACATGATTTCTTTGAACGCGGCAGCGACATCATGAATTTGTATGAGTTTGACATAAAAGAAGAGGAAGAACCTTATCTGTCGCCAGAAAAATAGAAATAGATCTAATCTGGCCACAACCACAGCCGTCGCGTAGCCCGGTCGTCGCCAAAATAATTATCTACATAAGAGTACGTGTTAAAATAATTTGACAGCTGTGGTTTGTAGCTCGTCGTTTTCATTGTGTTCGGGCTATCATTTAACTCGTTTGAAAACCAGTTCAGAGTTGTATCAGAAAGCTTTCTGCCCCGGCCAATCAGAAAGACCCAAAAGCTTTCATTTGACACGCCAACGTTCAAAAAATGCATATTTTGAAAAATATTAAAAATTAAAAATTATCAGAAAATATAAAAATTGTATGCATGTCTTCCCGCCAAAAAAGATGCCAAGGCGGTAATTAGTTATTTCCCATGAGGTCTCATCGTACGCAGAGATAAATAGTGCATACGAACTAAAAATTTTGAAGCCTCTAAGTAATCCGTATGCGTTAATATCATGAACCAGACATTCGCACAAAAAAATTGAAACACAAAAGCTTGATTTTAAATATTTTTTTTCGAATTTTTATTGGTAATCAAACAACCGTCAAAGTTAACTCCAAATGTTCAATGTGGACGATTGTGTTTTCCAAAAAGCTCTTTTTCATTTAACAAGTTAAATGGGGCCAATTTGAACATAATATTATTGTTTAAATTTCTAAAAGAAATTTCACTAGTAGCATCTCATTTTCCTTCTGTTGATTTAACTTTTTTCCAGGAATTCGTCTTTAAATAGGCATTTTTGTTTACAGTTTACTAAAAAGTTTTAAACTTTGTTTACTTATATGGATTCTAAAACCAACAAAAAAAAGTACACACAGCTTGCTGTTTTTTGCTCTGGTGCTATCACCTGTCCAATGTGCTGTGGTGCCTGGCAATCTTCAAATTTTGTGAAGAGAGAAGAACTCATTAGGCGAAGCTAGGCCAAAAATATTATTGCTGATTTTATGAAGGATTGTATCTTCCACATGAGAAACTCTAAATAAGACGCCTTCCAGGAAAATCTTGTAAAAGTAGAGAAGTTCTTCAAGATCGAAGGAAAGTTGATCCCTTCAAAGGTACGCGTTGCAGTTCAGCTCCTTCCGGATGCTATGCACTGCATTGTGCTTGGTCGAAATCTGAGTCTGAAGATAATCCGTTGAAAACAACTTCTACTTCAAAAGTAGTCGGATATTTTCATCATGTTTCTCTGCCTAAAAATATTTGTAACAAATTTTGCTGGAAAAAATCCAGAGACCGTAAATAACATTTACTTTTTCTCAACAGCTAAACTTGGGCAGATATTTTTAAGTCAAAAATAAAAGTCCTTTCCTAATAATAAAGAAACCGATTATCCAAATTAAACAAGTTTGGTATCAACTGAAAGAGGACTAAAATAGCTTTAAAACTGAAATATTTAAACGAGGAAAGCCAGCTATTGAAAAATATTAAAAAAAAAAAAATGTTTTTTTATTACCATAGAACAAACCTTGGGTCAGCTATATGCATTTCTTTTGTATGAAATTATAAAAAAAAAATATAAATAGAAGTGGTAGCTTTCGATCGTTATTTCTGTTTAAAAGCTATTTAAGTTCTCTTTCATCTGGTACCAAATTTGTTTAATTTGGATAAGCGGTTTGTTTACTATCCGGAAAGACTTTTATTTCGAACTTGATAAATATATGGCCAAGTTTGACTGTTGGCAAAAAATAACTGCTATTTACGGTCCCTGAAAAAACCCCGAGCACAAAGCAAAAAGTTATGGAAAAGTATTCTACAATTGTGTGATGTTACAACTGAATATTTGCTCTCACAAAAGTTTGAAAAATATATGCCAAATAAAGACGCTGTTTCAGAGCTAATAAATCTAGGATAATTGGAAAAGGTTTTGGGGAAAATTTGGGAAAATTATTTTATGTCCGTATTCAGCTGCCATAAATATGGTCACCGTAGGTATAGTACAATCCTATGAGGTGAGCATTAAAATTCCGACTTTACTTATTTTGGACAACCCCAAAGTATATACAACAGTGATGCACAGCGCTGGCAGAGCTTCCAATACAAGCGAAAAATTTTTGTCTCAGTATGTGTGTATTCAACAAAGCAACCTGCGCATGAACTGGTTACTGCATGAAGTTGAGAACACAATATAACCAATATATGTCATAATATAATACAATTAGGGGATTCACAAAACGTGTTAAGCGTCGTAAAATCTTAAAATCGTAAAATTTCACAATGGTTAAAATTTTGTTGTTGTCTTGGATAGATAAAGATATTAAAATAATACAACTCTGCATGTTATGTGTTCAGTGTGTTATAACTGATCAGCTGATTTCTGTTTACCTCATTGTGCTTGTGCTTCTTCTTCTGCGCTGCATACCAAAGGAAATTTTTGAAGTCGAAAAATAAAGAACTTTAATATTTAAACAAATGCAGAACGTTAGTGAAGTAAAGGTAAATTAATGCACATGCATATGTAAATACTGATGCTGAATTACTCTTACAAAATGAATTTTCAGGCAAAGACAATGCGGGTGCGCTGCAATCCTACAAAGAAGTGGGCAGTGGCGGAAAAAAACGCTTTGGTGCAATTCTTGTTGGCAAATAGAGATTTTGAGGTTGGTTATTTGAAAAATGAAATTCTAGACCTTTAAAACTCTTTAAATTTTGTTTTAGAGACTAATAGCTGAAATTTATTACACCAGGTTTGTTATGGAGTATAATGTTGTAGTGGAGGGGAAGGCACTGCGCTCGAATGTTCGCTATATGCGCTCTACCTATAACAAAGCCAAAGGATGGGAGGACTCAACCGGTTCAGGGAGTATGGATGGAGAAACCATTAAATGTAATTCTAGTGAATTACTTATTTAAGTTCACCGAATAATACGTATTTACCTTTTTTTACATTTTTTCTTTCAGCTGTCCTGCTTAAGAAGTGCACCTTCTTTTATGAATTAGAAGAAATTTTACATCGACATCTTTAATAACTGAAAATTTACCTGAAATGATTACTGAAAACGAACGAGTCGCTTCAACGAGCCGCAAGGGCATATATTCAAGAACCGCAGTTTCCGACATTTTACAATTTCAGTCAGAAAGCATAAAATAGACCGGGACATGATTTTGAGGGAGAAGGAGATAGAGATTAGGCAAAGGGAATTAGTGCTAAAAGAAAGGGAAATAGAACTTAAAGAAAAGTAAGAATAGATACCCAAAGATAAGGAAATGGAAATGAAATGAAGAGAACTCAATAGCCAAGAAAAAATCAAAATTACGGAATTAGAAATGAAGGAAATATTGGCGATGGAAGAATTTAAGCGTAAATAAACAAACATTCTGAAAAAGTGCAGAAGTCTAAAGTTAAAAAAAAAACGAAGCGTTAGTGTTATAATAATAACTGAAACTAATAGGAATAATTATCACACATTTTAAGTTTTAGCGAATTTACATACATCCCTATGCAGTCACTCACACTCAAATTGAGACAGGAAATTCTTTATAATTGTATAGCGCATTATGGCATTTTTTTATTACATATTAGTATTTCATAACAATATATCGAGGGCTTATATTCAATACCTCTATCTGCAATTATCACAAAAACTACTTTGTTACAACCCATCTGGGACGTACCTGTCATCACTGATCTTAGACTTTGCAATGCAATAGTAAATGCGTATGTCAAGCGTTATACAAGGTCAGCAGTAACATCACCGATGACAGTTAAGTATTAGGTAGATTTTTATATCAGAATCTAAATTTTGCAGAAAAGTGCAGATAGAGGGTATTGAATATAAGCCCTCGATATGTAAGTACTTCAATTCAAACGATGACCATCAAAGGCCAGATCTTTACTCAAAACTTTGGGAAATACAAGAAATATCTATACTAATTGCTATCTTGCAATAGGTATGCACTACTTGGTACTCGAAATAATTTATAAAAAAATTTAACTTTTTATAAGTTTCCCAAGGATTTGCATAATGTACATATCTATATTAATAAAAATGTTGTGTTCGTATGTCACGGTCGTCAAAACTCGAGAACGGCTGAACCGATTTGAATAATTTCTTTTTTGTATTGTTCGGTATAATACCAGAACCAATGATACCGCAAAAAGGGTTGCCACCTATTTGAAAATTTTTAAACCCAAATATATTGATAAAATTAACGAATTATTACTATATGGGTATTAGGTTAAACAGGGTTAAGAAAGATAACTGTTGGAAGTATCTTTTACGAGGGTTGCCACCTATTTCAAAATTTTAACTCAGTTTAATTAATAAAAATAAATTAAATGTTGCAATGTGGGTACAAAATTAAGTAGGTTTATGAAAGATAACTGCTGGAAATGCTTTTGAGGAGGGTTGCCAGCTATTTGAAAATTTTAACTCAGTTAAATTGATAAAGCAAATAAAATATTGCCATGTGGTTTTTTACTAAAGAGTTTTAAGAAGGCTTACAGCCGAAAATATGTTTGAAGAGGGTTGCAACCTGTTTGAAAATTTAACTAAATTTAATTCATAAAATAAATGACATATTACAATATAGGTATCAAATTAAAGGAGTTTAAGAAAGGTGATAGTCGGAAATATTTGGAGGAGGGCTGAAAATTTTAACTCAATTAAATTGATAAAATAAATGAAATATTGCCATGTGGGTATCAAACTAAAGAGTTTTAAGAAGGCTTACAGCCGAAACTATGAGAAACTTTGAGGAGGGTTACTACCTGTTTGAAGATCTAACTAAGTTTAATTTATGAAATAAATCACATTACAATATAGGTATCAAATTAAAGAGGCTTAAGAAAGATGACTGTAGGAAATACTTTTGAGGAGGGCTGCGACCTATTTTTATTTTAGCTCAGTTAAATTGACAAAATAAATGAAATATTGCAATGTGGGTATTAAACTTTAGATTTTTAAGAAGGATTACAGCCGAAAATAAGTTTGAGAAGGGTTGCCACCTGTTGGAAAATTTGACTCAATATAATTGATCAAATAAATGGCTTATTACAATAAAGGTATCAAATTAAAGAAGTTTAAAAAACAGACTGTAGGAAATATTTTTGAGAAATTTGAAAATTTTAGCTCAGTTAAATTGATAAAATAATTGAAAAAATGCAATGTGGGCAATAAACTTTAGATTTTTAAGAAGGCTTGCAGTCGAAAATATGTAGGAAGAGGGTTGCCCCCTGTTTGAAATTTAACTCAATTTAATTGATAAAATAAATGACTTATTGCAATAAAGGTATCAACTTAAAGACGTTGACTGTTGGAAATATTTTTAAGGAGGGTTGCCACCTATTTGAAAATTTTAACTCAGTTAAATTGATTAAAGAAATGAAATATTGCAATATGGGTATCAAACTAAAGAGCTTTAAGAAGACTTACGGTCCAAAATATGTTTGAAGAGGTTTGCCACCTGTTTGAAAATAAAACTTCATTAAGTTGATAAAATAACTGAAATGTTACAATATGAGTACCAAACGAAAGGTATATAAGGAATCTTGATTTGGAAATACTCTCAATAGAATTATGCAATATATAAAAGTAAACTAAAAATATTTGAATTAAATGAAATATTACATAACTGGTTCGAAACGGAAAGCGTTTGGGAAAGCTTTACAAGAGAAATTTTTTGTTAATGTTTTCACTTATCCAAATCCGGATAGTTAAAATGAAGAGAGAGTTTACAACATCTTATCAAACGGAGTGATCATATTATCAACGAAGATTTGGTATACAAATTACGCTTAGATAAAAATTAATAAATGTAAAATGTATTTGACATTAATAATAAGAGAGTTTTACAATTTCCAATTTCAATACAATGGATATTACTTAGTGTTTTGTAAGTTTCTATTTTGAATGAAAAAATTATAGATTGTAGTTTATTTAAAGAAAAATTAATAGAGATACTTGGCGACGACACAACCACGACGACTGAGACCAACTTCCTCCGACGACGACTTACTTCGACTGCCTCACAACTTTAACAACTTGCTTTCGACTTCCACTTCCTTCTATAGCTTCGGCTTCTTCTTGTCACTGCTTTCTTCTTTGCTGTGTTACCAACAGTACCTTTTTACATAAATAACAACCAGAGATCGAAAATAACCGTCACCAAGTGTCCCGTATGGTGTTTACCACTGACACAAACACTCGTCTCTCAAGCTAAGAGTGTTTCTCACCGTGGCAAATCACTCTGTGCGATCTTTTTGTGTTTTTTTCGTTGTGGGTTATTTATCACCTGCTAAAATTTCCCTTGGGCAAAAACACTTTGGCAGGGACTTTTATTTTTAAGTGTCTTAATTTGTGGGTTATTGTAGGACTGAAAAATATAAGTGGGGGTAATAAGTGGAAGCAAAGCGCTAGGCATTTCTTTACACGACATATACGTACACATACATGTGCGAACATTTATTACAAAGAAGAGAGCGTGCACATTCTTATTATGATACACCGAAAATAAGCTATTTTATTTAATTGATAAAGAAAAGGATAAAGGCAAAGGTAATAATAAAAACAAAAACAAAGATGCGTACAGATAAATGCAAAAATGAAGACCAAGGTAAATTTAAAAATTTTACTAATATAAGGGCAAAGGTGAAGGGGAATATGTAATGTAGAAATTGATAAACATAAAGATGATAAAGATAAATATGAAGAAAAGATGAGGATAAGTACCGATGAAAATAAAGGAGGAAAGATTAAAATAAAGGTAACTATAAAGAAAAGGATACAGAGTCACAGATACTCAACTTGGGAACTATTTCGGGATTTTCGGTATTCTCGGGACTTATCGGTATAATGATCGATATTTTTTATCGATTTTGTTATCGATATTTTTATCGATTTTGTTATCGATATTTTTATCGAGTTTGTTATCGATATTTTAACCGATTTCGTTATCGATAATGTTATCGACTTTATTATCGTTATTGTTATCGAGTTTGTTATCGATTTGGGTTTCGATTTTGTTATCGATATTTTTATTGATTTTGTTATCGATCTGAGTATCGATTTGGGTATAGATTTTATTATCGATATTTTAATCGTCTTTGTTATCGATATTTTAATCGATTTTGTTATCGATCTGAGTATCGGTTTGGGTATCGACTTTATTTTCGATATTTTAATCGATTTTGTTTTCGATTTTTTAATCGATTTTGTTATCGATTTGGGTATCGATTTTGTTATCGATGTTGTTATCGAAGATCCCGAAAATCCTGAAGTCTCGAGAATTCCGAAAAATTTAGGGACAGTCTGGCAAAGCGCTAGTTCCGCCCTCCAAATTTCAGAACCGTCTCGGAAGTACCGCAAAAGGGATGCAGAGCTGGACGGGTGAAACTCATATCTTTCTAGTTGCGCTGTCAATCAATGTTACTCATCCTGGTCATGTGAAAGCTGGCAAAAGATGGACAAATATACCATACCATAGTATTTTTTCGATTTTCTTAGACCCTAAACCTAATAACAAACTGTTTTCGATTATTTAATTATGTAATTCTCTAGTTTATAGGGCAACTGCTAAAATATTTCCAAAAAAGTCGTTATTGGTAACATTAATGTAATTTTTATACATATATACGTACGTATAAAATTGAATGCAAAATATAACCATAAAATTTAGTTCAGTTACACTTAACAGCAAAAGTCTGCGTACACCATTTCTTTTTTAAATATTCACTGTTATTTAGAGTTAAAATTTGTTTGTTATTATTTTATAAAAATATGATTATGCTTAAAACAAAGTAATGTAAACCGTGTTCTAAAACTTTATACAAAACAAAGTTAAATTGTACGATTTTTCATCAAAAATTTTGACCTTTTAATCAGATTAAAAAAAATAAACTAAAGTGGTAAACAATCTCACTTTGAAATGGGGGTGCTATTGATATGATCGATAATGTACATACGTAAATATATCACTGAGCACCCGAAATTTGTAGTTATGCAGTGATTTTTTTTTAATTTCCGATGTTTTTCATTTTAAATATTTATCGTTAAGTTTTTTATCTAAGAACTATGTCTCATACTCCATAAACCATTTTAATTCAAATTCCTAACTGTGCTGCAAACTTGACAACTTTAAAAAACTGTCTTCAAATCTCAAATTTTTTAATCATAGATTTTTTTATAAATATCAAATTTTAGTGTAGTGAAGTGTAATCTTGCATCTTAAACGAAAATATTTAAATAAGAGAATACCTTCAAGTCGTGCGTAGAAAGAGTTATAAAAAATCAACGCGATTAATTATTCTAAAATTTAATGAGCTACAGAACTGCATATTTATAAACTCTGATTTTAAAATATTGAAGTTTTTATAACAGTTTCTAGAATTCTACTCAATTTCCAACACAGTTAGAAACGTGAATTTAGATGTTTATGTTATAATACTTATGAGCCATCCTTAAATAAAAAATTTATAAAAACTATTTAGCATGAAAACCACTGTGAATATTCAACATTCTATATATTCTTATTAGATGCCGAAGAGTCTATATATTACATTTCAATACAATTTAACGCTACGTTATCACAAATAAGCATTCAATATATCACAATTTTTCTAATTTTTTGACACAACTTAGTTCAGATTTTTAGTTATAACTATCACAGAAACAGCCATTATACGTAAACCATATAAAATATTTTTAAGAATAACGGGTTTTAGAAAATGAAGGAATAACTGATACTAATTTTAAAGCACAGTTTGCCTCAAAAAGTAAATTAGTGCAAAATAAATAGCTCTTTAGTCATGAAATGAAGTATTTTTTATTTACAAAATTGTATGCGTACTTATTTAATTACAGTATTTAAAGAAAAGGCTCCATACTATACTTCTTGGAACCAGTTCAAAACTAAACACATTTGTTCTAGCCCGGAAGTGACCCTTTTTGAACTATCTAGGAACTGTTGTTATATGAACTGTCTCAGAACCGTCTAAGCCAGAGTCAGTTCAGAACAAGTTCAAAAGT